GATTCAAGGCTAGCCTGGACGACATGAGACCCTATCTCAATAACAACAAACCTGAAGCAAGCACAAGGCAGCAATGGACATTCAGTGGTTGCACACTGTATAGACATCCCTGTCATGTGAGAAGGGGGAGCCCTACACCCACACTTCCTATGAGAAGCCCATTCTGGCCCCAGGAGGATCAGAAATCAGGCCTGTGGCTGTACCTGTGGATGCCTCTTTCTCTGGAAAGGTGACAGGCTCTTCTGGAGGAGGGGGTAGCTCCTCTTCTGTGGGTTTGAGGTGACTGGTCAGAGGCCGGACAGAAGATCCCTTCGGTGGAGCCTGGGGAGGGGCATAGATCAAGGAGAAAGGAGAGAGATCAGCTTGTGGGGACCCCACCAGACTCTCCCATCTTGGCTCTTTGTCTAGGGGGGGGGGAGTACAATTAGTCCCATTGTACAGATGCGGAAACTGAGTCTGGAGAAGCAAGTGTCCTGCCTCTATAGCTTAGCAGGATGGTTACCATGGCAGCAAGAGCCAAGGACCTCCCTGCTCCCTACCTGGGGCTCCCTCCATCAAAATGACTCTCTCATGCTTGCTAGGTAAACACTCTACCACTGAGCTAACTATATCCCAACCTTTTTTCTACCTACTAGTTTGAAACAGGGTCTCACTAAGTTGCCCAGGCTTGCTTTCCATTCACTTTGTAGCCTAGGCTAGGCCTTGTGGTCAACCTGCCTTGGCCTTGTCTGTATCTGGGATTATGGTCCTGCAACTATCAGGCCCAGTTTGACTCCTGTTTCTGAGAATGTCCTGGGGATGACATGTCCCGCCCACTGACACTGTGCTGGAGGTGACATAGACCGTGACCCAGGACACCACTCAGGTTAACAACCCTCTCTATGAAGGCCAGACGATTAATTGTCTTCTTATGCAGTGTGGAGATTTGGGTCGGAACCAGTACATGTCTTGGAGCAGAGTGGGTAACTAAGAAACAAAGGGGACGAGGGACATGTCTCTCCAGGGACCTTGAAAATCCTCAACAGTTCTACCAGCTTTGGGGCTTGGAAGAGGCTTAAAGACTAATAACCTTCAAGCATAAGGGACCAAACCATGCCCCCTTTGGTAATACTGGAAAGGCCCAGGTCCCCCACCCATCCAGGGGGTTTGGGGACACTGTCAGTACCTGTGGCAGAGGTGGAGGTGGGGGTAGGGGCAGGTGTAGTTGCTCCAAGTCAGAAATGAGTGATGACCCCGTCAGGGCGGGAGGCTCCTCTTCTGGGAGAGCCAGGTAGGCCGAAGGGGGCGGTGGAGGAGGTGGTAGGAGGTCTAGATCCTCATCACTCAGGGAAGGAGGTGGGGGACAGCACCCTACAGAGGGGGAAGAGATGGCTCGCTCAGATGCCCCACAGGTCACAGGTCTATTCACCCAGCAGGCCAAGCAGCAGTGTGTAAAGGCTCGGGTCTGGCTCCAGACCTCCAGCCACTCTGGACAGCTGCCACTG